AAAAAAAAAAAAAAAGAAAAAGAAAGAAAGCTATTTAAGAAGCAGAATCCACAGGGCTTGGTAATTAATTGATTATGTAAAGTGAAAGAGGGAGAAGTCAAGGATGAGGCTCAGATTTCTGGCTGAGCATGTGAATGGGACTGAGATGGGTAAATATGGGGAGGAAGGCTAGGGTTTGAGGTACCTGTGAGACCTAGCATAGAGATTGCAGTGGAAGCCATGGAAGTGAAGTGATACCCAGGATGAAAGAATGCCAAGTGAGGAGGAAAGAGCCCTAAGGAACACCTGAGGTCAATCTGTTCACTGTACTGAAGTCTCTTCTCTGTGTGTACCTAGGCTTAGCTTAGTTATATACACACAGGTAAGGGGAAGACTGATAGCAGGAAAGGGCAGGAGTAACTCGGGGTGTGGGGTAGGGAATGTGCATATGTCTGTGTGTATATGAGGCGGAGATCCTGCCTCACAACTCAATACTCCCTCCCTTGCCAGCTTTCCCCGATGGGCTAACCCCCTCTCTGGACAGCTAGGAAGATGGTCCCACTCCCACCCAACTCCCACCTCCACATACCCCTGTGGCTGATCCTCACCTTCAGATCCTCACACAGATCACCGTAGTCAATCTCAATGAGGGCCTCTCGTGCATAGATACTGGAAATTCTCTGTGAACCACTCACTGAGTCCTCCCCCTGGGAGCTACCCTGCAATGGCAACAGAGAGTCAAGTGGAGCAGACTGGCCATGAGAGTGCACCTCTATAGGGAGCTCCTTTGCAGCCTTCAATCTTTGAGAAAGCACCTTGCTAGAAAGCACCATGGCAGAAGGAACAGAGGCTTTGCAGGCAGAATGACTCAAGTTCAAAATTGAGCTCTATGGCCAGGCGCAGTGGGTTGCACCTATAATCCCAGCACTTTGGGAGGCCAAGGCAGGTGAATCACTTGAGGTCAGAAGTTTGAGACCAGCCTGGCCAACATGGTGAAACCCTGTCTGTACTAAAAATACAAAAATTAGTCAGGAGTGGTGGTGCACACCTGTAATCCCAAATGCTCGGGAGGCTGAGGCAGGAGAATC